GTTGGAAGATTGGACAGGAAATGATAGGAAAATGGTTTGAAAGTAGAACGTATCGAGTACTGTTTTACATTCCTTGTGGAGAATGGAACCTTGAACCAGGAAAATTGTACAATCATCGACGACACCGTCGTCGTACACCGAAATACACGTATAATAAATACATACTTACGTACTTTATATATAACTTTGCATATAACGTTATACATATATATATGTGTGTGTGCGTGTGCGTGTGCGTGTGCGTGTGCGTGTGTGTATATTCAAGGAGATATTAGAAAACGCCACGTACAATTTGTAATTCGACATTTTATTCACTCCATAGAACAAAAAACTGAAAAGACTGTATATTACAACGTTAGGCAAACAAATTAGGTGAAAAACCGTCGATCGAAATGTATCCTTGCTTCGTTCCTTCGTTGGAGGAAATGTTTGTGTATTTGTTCATAGTCCGTCGTCGTCGTCGTCGTCGTGGTGTGTCGTTCATTTATCCTAGTAAGCAGACATTTCGTCTCGTAGCCTGATAGCGCAGGAATTCGGTGATTATAAAGCAATACGCGTAGCGTAAGATTTACCAAGAAATTGCTTAGATTACTAATATACTGGTACATAACGTGGATATGGGATTTATTGAATTTAAGTATCGCTCGATACGTTGATATTTATAGGTTATCGCCATATCGTCATATAAGTAGGTACAATGTGGTTGTGCATTGCAGTTTCATAGAAAATATGTTATTGTTAGCTTAAGTTGTTACGTTGTTACGATACGCATGGTATATTCGGATAAATTATTGCCCGGTAAACGTGTACTACCGCGTCAGTTCAATTGAAATCGGTTGAATCGGTTGCACGATTTACAATTAGAGCAGCGAAGTAGCGATGTCGCGTGTCGCCAATTCGTTGAGTCGCTTCAGTTTTCGGAGCAGAGTTTGAAAAAAAATCAATCATCACTGCCAGCTCTACTTTTCTCGACATCCTCGTAGGAACATGACACAATACCTACGAACGATGTAAACATGTTCCAGGAAAATGTCGGGTACGTTTATCGTACGTATATTTAGCGGTGGCAGTGAATAAAGTGAGCCCTTTTTTTTCGCACGAATAACGATAACAATTTTTACTCTTTGCTCTTTGCTCTTTGCTCTTTGCTCTTTGCTCTTTCCTCTTTCCTCTTTAC